GGATAATATGCTTGATTTTAAATCTCTTGAAGCAGATCCCAAAGATCGAATGCCTATTTCATCTTATGGTCCTAATATTCGAGATGCGGTAAGGAGGTATTACATTCAAAAAAAGCCATGTCAACCTGTTGATCATATCTTCCCTAAAACTAAGTTTGGAGATAAAATGCGTCAATTTCGACCAACTTGGTTTAAGAGAAGATCTCAATGGTTGGAATATAGCATTAAATCAGATGCGGCATTTTGTTTGTGTTGTTATTTGTTCAAGAATGAACTTGAAAGTCGTGGAAATGCCGGAGATTCATTTACAAGAGATGGTTTTAGGTGTTGGAACAAAGCTTTAGAAAGATTCAAAAAACATGTTGGTAAGGTAAATAGTATCCATCATAAATGTTTCAATAGGATGCAAGATTTGAAAAACCAACGGCAATCGATCCAATCTTCTTTTGACAAGTAAAGTGGAAAGGCAAGAAGTGATTATCGGATGCGTTTAAATGCCTCAATTGATGTAGCAAGATTTCTCTTGACATCGGGATTTCCATTTCGTGGACATGATGAAAGTGAAGGTTCCGAATATAAGGGTGCTTTTCTTGAACTTTTGAAATGGTATGGGGATAGAAGTTTTGATGTGGGAAGAGTAATATTAGGTAATGCTCCACAAAATGATATGATGATTTGTCCGACAATTCAAAAAGATATTGTGGAGGCTTGTGCTAAAGAAACAACTAAGGCTATCATTGAAGACTTGGACGGTGATTATTTTGGAATATTAGTTGATGAATCAAAGGATGTTTCTCATAAGGAGCAAATGGCTCTAATTTTGAGATATGTCAACAAAAGTGGAATGGTGATAGAGCGATTCTTGGGGGTATTGTCCATGTAAATGATACATCTTCTCAATCATTAAAAAAGGCAATTTATTCTTTGCTTTTGGATCACTCATTATGTACATCCAAAATACGTGGTCAAGGTTATGATGGGGCTAGTAATATGCAAGGGGAAATAAATGGTCTCAAGTCTTTGATTTTACAAGATACGTCATCTGCATATTCTATTCACTGTTTTGCTCACCAATTGCAATTGGCACTTGTAGGTCTTTCCAAAAATAATTCGGATATGGATAATTTTTTTTTGCTTAAATTTGGAGAAGTTCATACAGGGCAAGGTTTGAATCAAGAACGTGGCCTCCAACGACCGGGTGATACTTGTTGGGGGTCTCATTTTAAAACCTTGGACAATTTCCTGATTCTTTTTTCTTCAATTGTTAATGTGCTTAAGAATATGAAACGTGATTGTCCTTATTATCTTGATAGATTTACGGCGGAAAATCTTTTGAGCAAGATTCATGAATTTGAATTTGTCTTTATGTTGCACTTGATGTTTAAGGTGTTGCTATTGACGAATGAGTTGAATAAAGTTTTACAAAAGAAAGATCAAGATATCGTTAATGCTATGGGATTGCTTGACCTTTCAAAGAAACGATTGCAAATGATGAGAGAGGATGAATGGGACTCTATGATGGATGAGGTTAGCTTATTTTGTGGTAAACATGGAATTTCAATTCCCAAAATGAATGAAGACTACTCTAATGGGAAGTCGAAGCGTAAGAGGTCCAATATTTCATATTTGCATCACTTTCGTGTGGAAGTGTTTTATGCCGTCATTTATTTGGCACTTCAAGAACTCAATAATCGTTTTGATGTGGTGACTAGTGACTTGCTCCTCGGTATGGCTAGTTTGAGTCCGGTTGATTCATTTGCTAATTTTCACAAGGATAGGATAATGAAACTAGCCGAGTACTACCCAAGTGAGTTTGGTGATAAAGAGCTTCGGGAACTCAATTTTCAACTTGATGATTTTATTGTCTATGCTCAAAAGTGTGATAGCAAGTTTCTCAACTTGAAGGGAATCAAGGATCTTGCAAAAGTGATGATAGAGACAAAACTAGATCAAACTTGGTCACTTGTGTATCTACTTGTGAAGCTAACTTTGATTATTCCTGTTGCTACCGCAAGCGTGGAAAGAGCATTCTCATCAATGAAGTACATAAAGAATGATTTGCGTAATAGGATGGATGAAGATCTTTTGAATGGTTGTTTAGTTTGCTATATAGAGCGTAGTATATTTAAAAATGTAAGTAATGAATCCATTATTGACCGTTTTCAAAATATGAAAACTCGTCAAGGACAATTGTAAGTGAATGATGTTTTTTGCTAATATATTACTATATAAAGATTGCTACTACCTACTTGCTCGTCAACTTGTTCTCACAATAAAATTTATATAATTGAATTAATTGCCTATTTTGAAGATAATGGTGCCCCCATGTTTTTGAGATCCTGGATACGCCTCTGCAATCAATTATACAAAACTCTGGAACATAATAGCTTAATTATATGACCCTCTATATGTATAGAGATAACTAAAAGATCTCCCATTACGAATTTTTATCCACATACAAATCTCTAACAAGAAGTAAAAGGACTCTCATCAAAAGAAAAAAACCTAAGCTAATCACTAAAATAAGTACTTAGCATATAGTTTTATCGTTAGGTTTGTAGTTAATTAATAGTCCTCGCGAAAACAATATCTTACTCGGTATATATAAAGGCAACAAAAAGCTAGACCCTCAAAACTCTCCCCCCCTCCCTTGCCCAAAACCCCTTGGAGACGAGTTAACTGTTAAAAACAAAAAAATGGTTTAAATTTGAGCTGACAACAGTCTATCACAGAACAAGTCAAATTCCCACCCCGCACCCCTCATCAGCCCCATAACATACAGAGTTTATTTGAATAAGTTCCATCCAGTTCCGAGGTTGAATGGGGGTATTGCTCCCAAAAAAGAAGTAGCAAAACTATCGATAGCAGCAGCAGCAACCACTTGAGGAACAAGTTTCAAACAATTATCTAATGAAATAACACTTGTGAATTGGAAAGGATAAAAGTTGCTTTCGCAGAGCTGTAGTTGAATAAAGACGATGTAAGAAAACACAGTTTTCAGGGTAGAAGATGATATAACCATATTACAATACACCGTAACAAAGCCCCACTATCTCTAATGAGCAAACTGGTATACAGCAAGTTACGTCTTCATGGCAGGCCTCACCAGGCCCAAACCACTTCCACTCCCCAAGTGTTTGAAGTCTTTTGCTTCAAGATTATCTCCATGGGCAGCAAACCCTGTTCCTCCCTTTTCCACATTCACCAGATTTCTATCTTTACATGGTTTGTCACAGACCACGCAAACCTTGTCAACAGCCACAAATTTCTCTGCACATTTCTTGCAGAAGACATGTCCACAAGTATTAAGTGCCACAAGTGATAATGTATTGGTCAGTGTGACCTTGCAACTGGGGCATATGAAACTCTTGTCAAGAGACTTGTGTTTCTTCTGTGCACTTGTATCTTCAGTAAAGTGTATAGGGAAAAGGTTTTTCATCTTAATTTTTTCCCTCCCTTCAGGACAAGTTGTGCTTGTGGATGGGGCTTCCACCTTAGCAGGTGCATCTGGTGTTGCAGAGGGCAGCCAAAATGCTTTCATGGTTCTAAGTGCTTCTTCCTCATAAGAAGTGGCCTTCACGCTGTTGGCCCCATGGAATCCATTCTTGTCTCTGTTGTAGTTCTTATCATTATACTGCGGAACTGGACCATGATTTTGTTGATCAAATGCATCAAGCTCCCTGGCTTTCTGCAGCATCAACCTCTCCTCTTCCTCTTCTTTTTCTTGCTTCTGCTGACCAGTATGAGCAGCTAACTTTCTGCAAGACAAAGTAACAGCTTGTCAAATAAAACTTCACGAAGGATGATTCTAAGAATACAAACAAGAATGTTTACCAAATCCCCACCCCTCTCTTCCACTCCACACTGCCCTTTTCTCCTTTTCCAGAGAAATGCAGGCATGAAGCAAGATTGGAAGATATATTAGTCAGTATTATTCCTTCCAGGTGGAAGTCGGGCAACTGTTTTGTTAATAGAAGTAACTAACAACATGCATTGCAACTTAAGAATAAGTAACTGTTTACTCAGAAAGGCTGCAGTTTTCACTTGAAAGGGATTCCAGACAAGTATTCCACAAGTCAGTACGAAGACCTCTTTATTGGCTAGTCTATAATTAATACTCTTTTCATCCACTACTTTATGGACACAATAACTGGACTTGGAGATTGGAATTAATTTTGGCTTGTATATTAGTATCATTATAATAATAGAAGGCAAACATTAAAGTGGCTCGTGAAAATTCAATGGTACCCTCTTTCTTTTTCTTTTTTGACTTGCTTATTAGTATTGGACTGAGATGAACTTAGGAAGGTGACATGGACCCTGAGGATTCATATAACTTACTCCCCTACTTGGGATTCAGTCATAGTTGTGGTACTTGCATATTTGTATTTTGGTAATAGTAAAGAATAGCATTAAAGAAGAAGCTGAAAAATGACAGCACCCTTCTTAAAACTAAACATGTCACCAAATTATTGCCGTTAGAAAGTGCAGGAGACTCTAGCCTCATAAGAAGAATCGAACACAAATAGTTTTTATGTTAACCTTGGGGCTACAGCCTACAAGTATAGTTTGCAAGTCAAGTATCCTATCCATAAGTTCTGGGATATATTTGCCTCTAGACCAAAATCCATTAGATTATATGGCGTTTTCGGAGGTCAATTTACAACCACAACAAAGACTAAAATATATCCAATAGGTTCTCTTCAAGATGCACTGAATCATAAGACTAGCCTACAACTGCAGACATCATACAACTCAATCTAATCCAACTAGACCTATATTAAGGACATAAATTAGGAGTCTCTTAATCACTGAGATATTCTCTGTTTTGGTGTCGAACAGATGAAAGCACTAGCTATGGCCATCGTACTCTCGTAGTTGCAAAATTTCGAAACTTGCTGCAGTATCCTTCCAAACTTCGAGTCTCACTACATTAGAAGGACATCTCCGGAGTTCCTCTTACCAATCTACACAGAAAATTTAACTTACACCCAACCTCCACATATTACTCCCCCATTAAGAACCACAGATATTGTCAGTTTCTCTTTGCTGAAACAGTATTCTTTTTTATTATTATTATTATTACTATTTCACAGCTGAAATAGAATTCACAAGCACAATCTTACAATCCTGGACACACAACAAAGTAAATCAAGCTAACCACAGGATCTCAGCACCAAGACATATAATTTCATACAAAACGCACCTTAAGCATAAAAAAACTCGGCAATTCATATATAATATCCTTTCCTTTCAAATCTACAAAAGATCAATTGAGAGAAAGTTTGCAAAGGACAGAAAATAGGCACCTTTGGATATCCTTTTTCTGGGACAAAAGGCATTCCAGAATGCATTCTTTGCAAAAGACATGCCCTTTCTGGCAACACAACGGATCGATGAAGGGTTTTAAGCAAAGGGAACAAGCATCGAACGGCTTAATTGAATCTTTGCCCAGCCTCTCCTTTTGTGTTCCGTACCCTAACTTTCGCTTCTCATCGTAGGTAAAGAAGGCGAGATCGTTGTTGTTCTTCGAGTGTCTCTGCGGCATCTTTCAAAACCCTAATTGTAATTCACCTGAATTTTGAAGACGATTTTTGTGAATTTGGGGTAGAAAACCCCTATGAAGTGGATTATCCAATCGGGTTAGTAGCAGTCGTCGGGTTTCCTAAGGGATTTATAGCGTCACTTGGCGGTGACAAAATATTTGTACACGTAGTTTGCTCTTTTTTCCTTGTTTTCGATAATCCGTTTCCTAATTCATTTATGATTTACTTTTGTTTTTCTTTTCCTAGGAGTATTTCTTTTCTATTTCAAGAAAAAAACTTACTCAAATTAATTTTAACAAAAATCATGATATATACTCTATTATTTGAAGATTATTAACGAACAAGTGATTAAATCATAAACATAATTAGATCCATGTATGCTTTTTTTTTAAAACCCATAATTTACTTTAGGATTAATAAATAAGTTGACACACTTATTTGCATTAATTTGTAAACAATGCCCTATAACATCACATAGATAGGAGGGTGGAATTACACACGTATATGTACCTTTGAGTTTTTTTTTAAAACATGCATTTGTTAACTTTGAAAAGATTATATATATATATATATATATATATATATATCAAATATTTTGTTAGATACCTTAAAAAACAGTAGATTTGGTGCATTGATTCAACTTGGGTTAAAGTTTCATTGCATAAGCGTGATAACCTATATAAGCTACACTATCTTTAATACTCCTCATTTTAAGATTTTGAATTCATCTATAACTCCATCTTTAAACATGTTTTTCCTTCCGCATATTCCTCACTTGCTTGATTAGTATAACAAATCCACGAAATATAAAAATAATGATATATCATCTTCATAGCTAAAATCAAAATGCACACTTGGAAGCTATCATTCATCAATGGTAGTGCTGTTCAAGAGCGAATTTAGTCGTTTGAGGTTCAATTGAATTCATAACTTTTATCTTAAATTTGAATTTTCAGTATAAAATTCAATAAAATTACTAAATAATTGAGCTATTAACTGATAACTCAAACAAAATGATGGATTCGATGGTTATAATTGAAATCTTAATTATAATTTAAAAAAATTAGATCAATTTCTAATCCCCGAACTCAAAGCAGCAACTCGTTAGTCAATGTTGTCCAAAATTTCATAAAGCTCAACAAAGTTTCTTTAGTTCTGTATCCCAGTTCACCAATTAAACGTATCCCATACAATGAAACAATTCATTTTCAAATTTATTTCTTTCTATTACCTCTTTTGAGTCTTTTCTAGTTGGTCATCATTTGTTTTTTTCTTCTTTTTTTGGATATTAACAAAGAGATGGGATAAGGACAAAATATTGGACACCAATTAAGGAAAATAATTAAATACTGTATTATTCAAGTGTATTGTATTGGATAAGATTAGCCCAAAAAAAGAGTCAATATATTATTGACCATTTCTCAAATAAAAAAAAATATAAAAAAACCTCCAGTAAACTCTATTCCAGCTAATTCCTGTAACCTTTCTTCTTCCCAAAGGTCCGAAGAACTCAACGATACACACTGTGGAATCGGATTCGAACATCACAAAATACACAGTAACTCTCTGAATTCTTCAATACTCATTTCGTATTTATCTCTTTACACCATGATGACATCACCCAAAAAGCCACCACCAGAATCCGACCGTACACTCACGGCGATCATGCACCAACCGGCATCTCCTCGTTTCCATTTAGGAACTCCCACTTCCGGAGCTAACCGGAAGGTCGCTATCGCCGTCGATCTTAGCGATGAAAGTGCTTATGCCGTCAAATGGGCTGTGCAAAATTACCTCCGACCAGGTGACGCCGTTATTCTCCTTCACGTCCGTCCAACTTCGGTACTTTATGGAGCTGATTGGGGTGCTATTGATGTTTCTGTTGACACTGAAAATGAAGAATCACAGCGGAAGCTGGAAGATGATTTTGATAATTTCACAACTACGAAATCTAATGATTTAGCTCAGCCACTTGTGGAGGCTAATATTCCATTCAAGATTCATATTGTGAAGGATCATGATATGAAGGAAAGGTTGTGTTTGGAAGTTGAGAGGTTGGGTTTGAGTGCTGTTATTATGGGGAGTAGAGGGTTTGGTGCATCAAGGCGTAGCCCTAAAGGAGGGATGCTTGGTAGTGTGAGTGATTACTGTGTGCATCATTGTGTTTGCCCTGTTGTTGTTGTTAGATATCCTGATGATAAAGATGCTACTAGTGGCAATGACTCGGTCACAGATGTGCTTCACCCTGTGCCTGAGGAGGAGCCTATATACCATGATGCCTCCGATAAAACTGCAGGTATATATATCTTCAGATCACAATTTCTATTACTTTGCAAGTAGACATTGATTATGTGTGGTCTTTGTTTGATCAAATGAATACCATGATGATTAGTTTAAATGATTGGATGTTTAGTACTGCTTCAAAAGTTGTGACTTTATTTAAGGGTTCATGCGTTTAGACATTTATCTAATTATCTTTGATTTTTCTTGTGTGCTTTTAGATATGTGAAAGTGGGCTGTTATAATTACTCTGTCGAGATGTTTGATTATCAGCTAGGAAGTGGGTTGACTCTAGTTTGATGTTTCAATCAGCTTAGTTAGTCGTAAGTAATGCCATGTCAGATGTTATTTTTGTTTCGTTATAATAGGATGATTGTTGATTAGATGAGTAATGTATTTATGTTAGGTGAATTTTGTGGAGTTCCATTGAGCAGGGTTGGGATATTTCTTCCTTTTTGGTCTATGGAATCAGTTGTTTGGCTTTTGGCATAGTTGATAGATGTTAGTTGTAAGTAACTTGTCAGTTGTGAAGCATTTTGTGGTATACATTTGTTACATATGAGTTGTTTCACTTGTTTGTGACAAAATTCATATGAATAATCGTCCTAGTTAGTTCTTTTGGAAAATACAACAGTCTTGTTCTTGTTAATGATAGTAGTACTCTTTGAAAGTCAGCTTCATTTCTAGATATGCTTTAGTGGGGCATTTTACTATCCTCAAATACCATTATTCCTGCATGTGCTGCTATTGGGTAACTTGTTCCCCTAGGTTACCTAGCGAAAGAAGCTTTTTCACCTAGGGTCCAATTACTTGTAGATGAGAGAGAGGAAGAAAGGTAAACAAGTGCACGGTTTCTGGTGGAAATAGTGTCAACAAGTAGAGCAAAGGGATGAGGTTTAGTGGGTGGCGATTGATACAGGTGGAAAGAGAAAATGCTGGCCCTAAAATTTAGGGAATGGTACTTGGTAGAGCAGGGTGAACCTCGTGAAGTAAGTAAGTTGAAATCTCTTGGCCCCAGGGTGTTGATCTAGTGTAAGAGCGCAGCTCATGTTGTATGGATTAGGCGCACATTATGGGTTTGAACCCTACTACAGACAAAAGCCTGGTACTTAAGTGAAGGTTTAACAGTTGTATTTTGATTTTTTTCTTTTCTGGTAGATATATGAAAACCTAGAAACTAGATTCTCTTTGTTCTTTTGGTTATGTCAGGATTCAGGAATAGCTTATAAACCATGGCCATTTCAATGAAATGTATTCTTTGCTTTGAGGTTCTTGTGGAAAGTACTCAAGTTTTAGCATCTTAGGGATAGACTTACCTTGGCATCTTCTGTATGTGTACACTGTTGAAAAATCAGTCCTGATATGCTAAATCTGTGAGAAGATAACTTGATGTAAATAACTGCAGTAAGGTGACTTTGATTCCACCATTCAACTTGAAAACAATGCTTCTTCAGCACTGACAATCTAGCATAGGCTTTGGATGTACTCTTGCTGAAAACCAGGTTTTTGACCCCTTTCTGGTATGAACCTTGACATCATGTGATCTCCATGAATTGTGTTAGTTTCCAGCTCCTGAATTTGTTACTTCTTGCATGGTTCATTTTTCTGACAAGTGAGAGGTGTAGTGGGTTTGACACTCATTCCTATTTCTGTAATAAAAGATTTGTAGCTGATGCTCTATCTGGTTTTTTAGCGCACCACCAAGTGTTCTGCAAGGTCACCATGCAGATAAAGTTTGGAATGCTTGAACTTCACAATCTTAAATATGTCAGATAACTTACAATAGGCTTCGAAGGAATAGTGTCCATGTGTTACAAATTGAACCCTTGGAAGTATTAAAACGGCACTTCTCATTCTTTCATAAGGCTAATTGCAGAATTGGAATTCCAAATTGAGCCTTCACGGCATCTCCAACCCCATCCTTCTATTTTTCTCTCCAACCCCATCCTCTATTTTACTCTCCAAATATAGAGTTCTCTATTTTTTTAGACAACCAATTCTCTATTTTACTCTCTAAAAAGGAAATTATTTTCTCTCCTCAATATTATATTATTATTTTTATTTTCTTATTTCATAATATAAATCAATTCTTCTTTTTGCAAATAATCACTCTATAATCTTTATCTAATACAAAATTTTATTTTTTTCAAATTTCATTTAATATAAAATTTTATTTTAATCTAAATTTCTAAATAACATAAATTGCAATAAATATTATATATAATACATATTAACGAACAATTCAAATAAAAGTGAACATCATAAATGTCGTATCATTGTAAAAATTAATTTAAATTTTACATAAATACTCAACTTTCAAGACTATTACGTTACTCTCATCAGTGTTCTATTAATGTATTACGGAGTTCAAAATGAGCAATTTTTGTCCTTTTTTTTTAGGTGTAGCTAAAAATTGTTTAAATTAACAATATAATCTTATATTCAATTATTCCGTACTAATTTACTTCCCCTATTCCATTTTGAACTGTAACATCAAATATTTTCATGCTCATTATTTAATAATTTATCACTATAACATAAAAGTAGATTGTTTGAATTATCACGTAAATTTTTGTGCATACTTCATAATGAAAAATAATTATAATTTAAATTACATATTTAAAATGACAAAAAAGCAAATTTAAAGATTAAATTAAAAAAATTGTTAATTCGGGATGGAAATAGTATACTTAACAATAATATGTTTTAGATGTTATATTACTTAGAAAATAATTACAAATATTAGAGACTTAATTAATAATCTTATATAATATATTAATTAATAATCTTATATAATTACTACTATTCACCCCTCTATAATTGAAGAATAGAGAGGGCTTGGAGAACCCATTCTCTATTTTACTCTTCAAATATAGAGAATAGAGAGTAAAATATAGATGGGTTGGAATTGGTCTCAGTCAGTTGATAGCTGATCTGGTCCCTTCTATTTTATCTTACGCAGTGTTTGGACTTCAAAATTAGATTGATTTGAAGTTGAAATTTTAATTTCTATTGTTGTTTTATCTTGAACCAAATATGCTTGTTTTATTTTATTGAGGCCTATAGCATACTTAAAATTGGATGTGATCATTGAGTAAATACCAGGTTGATCAATACTTGCACAACCTGTAAACTAGCCTAGTTGGCGTGTAAGATACCTGGGGAAATCATAACATAAGCTTACTCCCTTTTACCTTTATAATTAACATTGGCTAATGATTATGATAGAAGAGGATTGAAATAGATGATGGAATACAAAATTTTCATTGCTCACTCCCAGGTAGATTAAAAGTATAATACAAAATTTTTGGATGCATGCAAAACATGAATCCTAAGTTGTTTTCTAAAGCAAATCATACACGACCTCCAGCCTTCTTCATCTCAAAGTCATCCATCAACCAATAACAAAAATATTACAACTAGCTGGCAGCTGCTAATTATATGCGAGGTGAGCTTGACAAAATCACCAGAGAATATCTCTTGTTTTATGTTTGCTCACGTCGCCTCTGGTAAAATATCCTCGGCGTATCACCAGACCTCATTTGTTCTTCATCGTGGCTTTTCGTGTAGCTTCCCTAAGGGCTTTCCTCTTCTCTTCCCTGTAAAAATGTTGAAGATAATAATAGGTTATATGATCTGAAATTAACTCTGTTCCATTAGCACGTCAGAGTGTTTAACAACTCGTGATAGTGAAACTACAAATAGTACCTAGCTTTTGCAATTTCCTCTCTAGGAAGGGGTTTCTTCTTTTCCCTCTTTTTTGTTGCCACCACTTGGTTTTCTGCTTTTCCATTTTTAGTTGCACCGCTGTTTTGTCCAGCACCTTTCTTAACTGAATGTGTTTGGACATCCCTCTTCCTCTTTTTATCACCTGCTACTTCCTCTTTCAATTTCCTATTCTCATTTGCAATGCCTTTTTTATCTGAATGCTTGTCATCATCTTCTTCAGAATCCTGCTGGTCACTGTTCTCAATGCTTTCAGTACCTTGTACTTCTTCAGACTGAACCGACGATTTAGCAGCAGACTTAGAATTGCTCATCTTTTTCAACTGAAAAAGAAACAAGACATATGAGGCAAAATGTTTTTACTGAAACAAACTTGCAGCAACTCCAAAGAAGAAATATGTTTATAATCTTTCATTTGTTTTTACAATCACATGTGCCAGTCCCAATTCATTTTTTAGTCCCAGAAACCATAATAATTTCTTCTATTACCCAGTGTAGTCTTCACTTGAGTGGGGTTTGGATTCTTCTATATATCTTACAAGTAAGAAAATCATTAATCATTTCAAGTTCCACAAGCTTAATGAAAAGATGAAATGTTTGTTTGACATGAGGAAGTTAGATTTTTATACGAGTACAGAAGCATGAGAACTGAAGAGAAGCACACAAAACCTCATGTGTATAGGGTTGAATGATATTTATTGTGTATGGCCAAAACTATGTAAACCAAGCAGGATAAAAGGGAAAAATCATTTCGAGAAAAAAAAAAAGACGACTTTCAGAGGACAATTCAATGATATGCTAAGTCAGAATAACTGTGGCTTGTTCTCCTGCATTTTTTTACAATGGAATAAAAGAACAGAAATAAATCATTTTGTACTTCACTTAGCACTTTACTGTAATCAATTTTAAGAATAATGACCATCATAAGTAGGACTCTGAAGCCTCCATTCGAACTCTCTCAACTTGATACTTCACATCCTTGTTTTCTATAGTCATCTCTAGTTCAATAAACAGAAGTTCTTAAATAAAGCAATTGCTTCGCAGCTATAAATAATAAGGCATACCTTGGCTACAAAGAATCCATCCATGTTGTGCACATGAGGATAGAATCGCCTTGTCTTGTCCAAAGATGTGTGGAAACGGTGCTGCCTAAACCGAATAAATCTGGGAGAGGCAGCTTTAATTAGTTGTAGAATTAGACAGCCTTTCAAGTAAATGCACATACACTATAAAAGTTATACCCAGGCCTCCCAAAATCAAGTCCACATGGCACAAGCTTAACATCTCTCTTCTTGAGTGCATAATCTATAACTGCTTCATTCTGCAGTTCCAAGTTAGACAAATGAGTTGAATACTTTGCAAAGCACCAGCTTTTTTGAGAATTCATTTGGAAATATATGTTAAGAAAGATACCTCTTCAACCATAATGGAGCAGGTCGAATACACAATGTATCCACCTGATTTTGAGTTGGCATCAACCATGTCAATTGCTGCAAGTATTAGTTCCTGCAAATGAAAATTGACGATAAAACACGTTTCTCAATGGCCACAACAATATGCGAATAGGGGAATATGTGATGAAAAGATTCATCATGGAGCAAAATTGACACTGCTTCCAATACCATCACCAACACCTTCCTGCTTTGGGAGGACACATATAACACATTAAAAAAAGAAAGGCGATAAGACAACTAGAAATGCAAAATTTGTCCTCCTATACAACAATTAAGATCAACGGAATCAATCATTAGAAACAAATAAGATAAAGATCAATTCTTTATGCAACTTAATCTCTCCCAGAATGCAGACTTTCAGAAACCAGTATTTTCAAACAGCCTGAGAAGTTAGATGCTTGCAATATACTTTGTGGTGTTCTGTTATGAATCATGACAAGCTCTGAAGCACCCAACTAATTCATGGAAATTTTCATGATATCCTCCCACAGCACAAATCGTTGCAAGTGTATAAATATGGATGACACAAAATCACCAAATTTACACATCTAACTCATACCTTCTGCAGTTGTGAGCAATTTTGTATATCAGGTGCAGTTTTGGAAGTTTTAACAGACTCATCTTTGGAGATTACCTGCAGAAAGAACAACATTCATTGGTTTAAACTTGATCTAAGCCAAGCATATATATAAAAGATTACCACATACCCCAGTGCCACTGCAGGGAGCATCCAGCAAAATCCTATCAGCAGTGTTCTGACCCAAAACTTTAGGCAACTGAAATGATCCCCCAAACAAGGTATTAGATCAGAGGACTTCGTCCATATCATCATTAAGAATGTAAACCAGGAAACAGAAACACAAGAACAAAATCTTGTCAGATCAATGCCTGTAGCTCGATGAAATTAGTAAAGACCTACTTCAGTCAATAAGCATGAGTGCTCATAATGGAGGATAAAATAGGACATTGTCCCCATATGAAATATAGAAAAAATAAAAATGTGCTAGTTCTAAAGGGAAGATTGCAAAATAGTCCAATTCAAACCTCTCTTCCATCGTAGTTGCAGACAATGGTGTTTGTTACCCCCATGCGATGTAAATTGGCAGTGAGAGATTTAAGTCTTGACTCCTTCATCTCATTTGCATAAATAATACCTAGTTTTTCAAGGTAAAATATGTCGGTGTCATTCAGACAATGATTGAAATGGCAAATGCTATTAAGCACTAATCTGGAAGACAACATTATTTACAGTAACTTCAAAAGCAGAACCAGAGAGAAGTTAGAAAAATACCATGGCAAACATTAATATGTCACAAAATCTTAGGACAAGCAACATTAAGTATATAAGACAGACACATCAGGAATGACAACTGGAGGAAGCAAACAAATTGATAATGCAGGTTATTATTTACCAAGTACTGTTTTTTTACCAAGAATGATGTACATGAGCGAAGAGTAAAATAGAACGAAAACATCCAGTATATTTTGGTAAACCGCATTAGAAATTAGCTGGACAAGAAATGGAAAGCAATGAATTATTTTACAAGGAAATGGAGATAATCAATACTGACACCAGGGCAGCCAGATGTATTCAAATTCATTCTCCTATCTGTATCCAGAAAGTATGGATGCATTGTGGATAAAATGGACCCCTTCACAAGAAAAATATACAACA